CTCATTGTCCTGTTCTTGGAGGAGCCCATGGGTCTCAAGCTCAGCCATGTCAGATCTGTAAAGGCAAGTCTCAAACTCTACTCTGCTCATCTCCATCTGCCAAGCCAAATGCAGCAAAAATAAAATCCAATAGTCATGACAATAAGTTCTATGCGTTTCTACTGTTCTATGATTCAGCCACAAAATGTTAAGAATCAGCTACCAGGGCAGATGAGATGGCTCAGTGAGTAAAAACTGACCTTGTGGCCAAGCCTGGTGACCCGGATTATAACCCACAGTCCCACACAGCAGGAGAGAACCAACCCCCACATGGCATGCAACCCCACCTCAAATGAATCTCAAAACTGTGTATTTTTAATGAGAAAAGATTAGCTGTTACAATCTGGCTTTATAATACAATTCCAAATGCCTACCTGTACCAGGTATGGTCTGCATGAGTGGTATACTCCAATGGTGCATGGTGGAGGCTATCAGGGGGCCTAGGCATGAGGGGTGGGCTGTGGCAGCTGCATTGTCAGACCTGGCCCAAGGTGAACAGTACTCATGACTTGCAGCAGCTGGGAATTAGGCTCAAGACGTCAGCTTGGAATAATACCTTGTAACAGGATGAATGTCACTAAATAATAATCATAATCATATAAATAAAAACCCAAGTCCGAAAGCCACATCTGGCCAGTGGGCTTGAGATGACCCCCAAACCAACAGACTGATCTCTGATTGCAGCAGATGACCCGTCAGTAGTGTTTTTCAAAATGAATCACACCATCTTAGTCAGCCAATTTCTCATTGCATAATATTTTTCTAAACTATTAGAGAAATAATTCATCTTTACCACATAGGGAGGCAATTACTTAGATAGCTATGCCAAAGATTATTCTTCCCATGTGTTATTTTATAGTTTCTTCAAAGTCAAGTTCAAGATTCATCTTTCAAGGGTTGGGCACCGCAACTCAGTTGGTAGAGTGTTTGCCTGGGTTTGATCCTCAACATTGCATGAATTGGGTGTGGTGGCCTACAATGTCAACACTTAAGAGGTAGAGGCAGAGTGATCAGAAGTCCAAGGTCATCTTTATCTACTTAACAAGTTTGAGGCCAGTCTGGGTCTACATGAGACCTGGTCTGTCTGTCTGTCTCTCACTCTCACACACAGGCTTTTATGAACTGGGGGTGCGGGGGGGGGGAGGGGAAGGTGAGTCAGTAGGTAAAATGCCTATTGTGCAAGCACAAGGACCTGAGTTCAGATCCTAAGCACTTTTGTGACCTTAGAGCTGGGGAAGAGGAGACAGGTCTGGAGCTTTCTGGCCAGCAAGTAATTGGTAAGCTCCAAGCTCAATGAGGGATTTTCTGTTTCAAAATAAGGTGGGGAGTGACAGAGAGAGAAAAAGCAGTATTGGCCTCTGGCTTCCACATGTACACAAATGCACGAGTACTCACATGCACACCTGTACAGACATGCACACACAAATCATCCTTTAGATATATTCATGTAATTCTGCTATCAGGTTCTGACATGCTCAGTGTGCACTACATAACCCATTAATTCACAATATTTCTCTGTAATCGTTTCCCATGTTTCATGTTTACAGTTAACAATTTACTGCTAAAAACATATGTCTAAATTAACAACAGAAATGTGTGTCTTGCTCTATTATGACAGTGAGAAGTTTCAGTTGAGGCTATGCGGTGGGGATGGGGAACCCTGTTCCAGCATTCAGTGCCCCAGGCTCATAGGGCACTGCAGGGGAAAGATCGCCAAGGACTGTCCATGGGAAGATCCTATGACTCATGCCTGGAAAGAACAAGTCAGCACCTCCTCTCCCCTGATATCCTCCGTGGTGGCTGTGGGTACAATGTCTGCAAGAAGTTCTCACTGGAAGCAAGGAAACAAACGGTTGGCCCGAGTGGTCAGCAACCATGAGTCCTACAGAGTGGTGCAACATAGTTTAGGGTGTTTGTCAGCAGCACCTGTATGGTGGTTTAATGAGGATCAGGATAAACAAATAGGCTGAACAGATGTTTATTCAGGAAGAAATAACTTACAACCTAGACAGATGAACACCAGCGGGTTCCACCGGATGCTCTCCTCTCCGAGTCTAGCCAGCAAGAGAGGGCTCCTGGTCCCTCCTCAGACCTAGTTCCCCAGGTCACTTCCACCCCTGGTGCCACCCCCCAGTGGGCGTGGTCAGTGCCATCGAAGCAGACAAAGTGAATGTCTCACTACACACCTGACTTTGGGATACTCATCCACATTAGCTACCATGGCAGAAGATGACAAAATATTCAGTGGTGAAAGCATGCTTGCTTCTAGGGCCCAGCTTCCTGGTTCTAGACAGGATGGGGAAGGCATTCTACTTTGGCCACTCTGTCACCAGGACTGTAAGGGTTTCACCTCCACTGTCACTACATCTCCCATCTGCAGAAGGGGAAGAAAGCCAGTGAGCAGATCATGGAAAATGATTTTCTTCTGGGCCAACCTGGCAGATTTCAAACCCTTCAGCACTCACCTGTACCAAAATGACACCTAGCTCCAAGGAAGGTACAAGAAAGAAGACAATGGGACTTAAGGCACCAACCATCCCGGCTCAGTTTGCCTGGGACTTCCCAGTGTTTAGAACTGGGTGCTACTTTCTGGGAAGACCCTAGCAGCCCCGTATGGTCAGTCACCCCAAAAGCTGCCGTGCTGGCTCAGCTCCTTATAACAAAAGGCACTGAGCTCTTAGGAAGCAATGGAGATGATCTTCATTGAAATATGTGCTGTTCCTGGAATTCGGAGAATGTGATGGAACTCTGTAGCACATACATCTATGATGATCAAGGTCCTGGTCCCTGGGTCAGCTACAGAAGGTGGGGCTAGGGCCATCCTACCATGAGGCATAGCTACCAACCCCCTGGACTTTTTTTTCCTTTTTTTCAATTTGAGGAATGTCTTGTTTATATAGCATAGGATGATCTTAAACCCAGATCTTCTTGCTTCAGCTGGAATTACAGGCATGTACTTTCACACCATAAACAAGAACTCTTAAAGATCTCTCTCACACTCAAACACACTCGACTGGGGATTATAGTATCTCAAGGAAGTAGAAGATACTCATAGTATCTAAAGAAACTACCACAGTGTACAAGAACCTGTGCCCACAGTCTCCATCAGAAACGCTTTTCTGATGTGAGCTGAATGATCCTTATCTTACCAATGGGAAATGGGTCTGAGGAGTTCCTATCCCCTCCGAAGATCAAATAGCTGGTTTCCACGGTGCTCAGGGTCAGCTACTGTCTTTCTCCTACACAGCAGAGCAGGGACCTCATCACACAAGCTGTCCCTCAGTTCTGTTGGAGGGCAGGTACTTCTCCATTTTCAGACTATTTTATCTGAGAGAAAATTTCATTCTCTGCATGTTTCTACTCTTACTGCTGTTATTACTGTCTGAATGGATCTGAAATGGGCATCTGAATGCAGTCATATCACAAGGCCCAGCAGCTTCAACTACTTATTCAACACAGCCTAAGGGGAGTAGTGCCTGCACTGAAACTCATCTTTATTTTTTAATTATGGCTATAATGAACATTTCTTGAGCAAATTTAAACCTGATCCCGCCATGCTGTATTCATGACAAAATGAAAAAGTAAAATTTTGCTTTTAAAGTCTGCCAACACCAAAAGCACAGCTCCTGAATTCTGAACATTGCTAACGTGAAACCAGAAGCAGACATTCATTAAAGTCATGTGAAATCCCTTTTGCCCCTCCTTCATTGTGCTGTGGCCTGTCCTGCGGGTGACGTCATGAACACGCATCTCCCGTGGAACATGAAGTGTGATCCCATCAATTACATAGGAACCACAGGCCCAGAAGGCCTAGGTCAGATTTGGAAGCAAGTAGCAAAATGTCACCTTAACTATGGTTATAGCAGCCAATAAAGTATGTTGTGTATTTACAAAGGCGAGGAAAGGGCATGAAAGTACATCTTTTGATTATTATTTCACATATAATTATCAAGATACCCAATTATACTAGCAGAAATAACTTCTATATAACGAAACAAACATGGAGACTTCTTACATTAAAATATAAAAGATGAAATGCCCACTGTTTAGTCTCCTTTTTAATTAGTACCCAAGCATGCCTTTAAGTCAGTAGGACAGAGGCTTTCCCAAGCACCTGCCAGTTCCCAAATAGCTTTATAGCAATTGCCTACCAGCTTACAGCGAGTAGTCCACCCATTTACCCTTCCACCAAATAACCAGGGCCAAGCACTCTTATCAGTAAGCATGCTCCCCACCTCATCTCCACCCCCACCCCTACCCAGCTCTACATTAGAGTGAGGAATCCAGGCTTAGGCAAGCCTCAGAGATGTGGATACCCCAACTCCCATTGGTTCAAAGAGCTGCCGCTGAGCTCCCGGGGCAGACTATGGGGCTAAGCCTGGCCTGTTGTCTCCAAGACTCTGCTTACTTCTGCTTTAGGCTCCAATGTGTTTATTCTGAGTCATTTTACAAATCATCCAAGAGGGATTTAAGTACCTGGCCCTACCTGCCTCAATCCCAATACATCCATTCGACACCCAGGGTAGTATCTAAAGACAGAATTCCTCTCAGGGGTGTTCCCCTGTAGGAAGACTGGTCTCTGCTTCACGTACTGAGTTCCCACATCTACCTTTGCTCCTAACCAGGAACACACACAGGATCGGGCTTGTTCTCTCAGTTCAGGAACCAGATGGTTAAGTTCTACACAGAACTGAAGACACTACCTTTCATCAGTGCATGGGGTGAAGTGACTTATCAGAGTCACAAGAGAATGGAGGACAACCTCCTTCACTGCCTCTTGCTTTGGCCAAACAATGCAATTGGTGTAAGCTTTGGTGTGTTCTCACTCCTACAGTCAAACGGCTGGTGTTCCTACTCTTCCCAGCCCTTCTGGTCCCTTTCAGATTTTACTCAACTGCTGTAGCTTCATCAGGGACAGCCGTGGAAACAACGATGGCATTAACACTGTCACGTGGAAACGCTTGTTTATCAACGCTTTATATGCTTTATTGAAAGGTGACAAGGACAACAGTTAAATACAGTGATAACTGTGTAGAGAACATGCACAGAAACGTATGCACAGAACTACCGTACAGGTGATATGCAGAAACCCCTACTGGGAAATCAATTTCCTTAGTAACTGACCATTTCTCCAAGTATTCAACCAGCTCAACCGAGAAGACCGCATCGGCGAACAGGGCTTTACCTTGAGATTCAGCAGCTAGATTTCAGATTACACTAACTGTGCCAAATCCTTTAACATTTCTTCGGGTGTGGCATTTGTCATAAAACAGTTTTAAGGTAGGTCTCTCTCTATAGAGGACAGTCTACACTTTTTCAGACAGCCAATGTAACATCTAAATTTCAATCTGTACAACCTAAACAGTAGTTACGGTCCTCTATTGTACAAGTTCGTTACACTACATACACAAATATACAATAAGCAAAACAACCTTCATAATGAGATAGCCTAGGTCCCAAGCTACCTGTCACCGTTTTGTCACTAATAGCTTTGTGTCTGCGAAAAGAGGGACAGTAAGTACCACTGTGTTTCATAAACTTTGGTGACAGTTGTCAGTCTGTGAAATGACTGAACCCCCCCCGCCCCCATCCCTCATTGCAGTCTTGTTTTTGGCCTCTCAAGTTCCTTGAAGGGAAGGAGAGGAGAGCACAGATCCAGGAGCAGCCCACCTTCTGAGCCGCATGCAGGCAAGCTCCAGAGCTCGTGGAAGCAGGGTGGGTGGCTGGGAAGGGCTGAAAAGGCACACAGGTCCTCAGTATCAAACAAACCATTCCTCAGACATCTGCCAAGCTGCACAGGGCACATCCATGCTCATTCTCTGATTAACCTTTAATTCATTCAACTAGTACATTTCTTCAAGCCAAAAGCATATGAGTGCTTAATACTGGGGGGAAAAGCGAGAATGGCATGTGTGAGTCTCACGTCTCTTTTGTAGACGGCAATGAAATGGGTGACTGTGGAGGTGGTCTCTCGCTAGCTCATCTCTTCGGCCTGTTCAGTTCAGACAGCAGCAGCCAGTTCTGTGGGGGCATAGCAGGCTATGCGGTTGATCCTGAGCCCTGGGATGCTGGCTGTGCAGGGGGTTGTGTGGTCCCCTGTGGCTGCGTGGTGGCCGGAGGGGAGCCAGTCTGCAGCTGGGCCTGAAACTGGGCGAGCTGCTCCGGACTGGCCAGTGTCTTCAACAGATTGTTCTCCTGCTCCAGCTGGGAGTTTTTCTCTATTAGTTCTTTGATCTGTTCCTTCAGAACCTCCACTTCCTCTCTAACTGCATACATCAAATGGCTTTTCACCAGATCCTGAAAGGAAGAGGGAAAGACAAGGTTTAGCTTACTATGTCCTGGACTCTGGCTTTCTGAAGGCCTTTCTTAGCTCTCCCTAACCAATTACATATTCTGCCTCCAAAGAGCATCAAGGCACATTGTGGAAATCTGCGCATAATCACAACCGCACAATACTTTAAGTTTAATGTATAAGTGATCAAGCTTTCCAAAAGTCTCTAGACTTTCTCTGCAGACATTAGCCAAGGATGCCTACAGTGCAGTTTCCAATTCAAGATGGCAAATCGCACCGGGGCTCTGTTCCGGCCCTGTGTTCCCATCCAGGCCGGAGGCCCGGCGGCCGCTTCCCCGCCCCCAGGCCCTCCCAGTATAGGGAGCGCCTCCTCCCTCCCTCGGCACCGGCTGCAGCCAGTTCCTACAGAACGCGTTGCCGCATTTTCTTCCCTCCACCTCTACTCCCCCCTCCACCCCCAGCGATTAAGCTGACATCACAGAAACCTGGGCAGACGTCGTAGCCAATGAGAGCTCGAGTTATTTATAGCTCTGAATTAAAGGTTCAGAGTTTGCCTAGCAACAGTGGGCAGAGAATCCCGTGAGAAGAGCCACAGGCGCTGCTCCAATAACAAAGAACGACCAAGGCGGAAATAAAAAATAGGAGAAATCCAGGAGCAGGCCGAGAAAGCAAAACTTTTCTCCCATTCTCCTCCTTTGTGCGGCTGCAGCACTGTGGGAGAGGTTCTGGTATGATCTAGAGACCCCTTCGCTAGCTCCTCTTGGCGGGGACTCTCTCCCTCTCTCCCAGCTCCCCAGTAAAATCTCAGGGTGCCTAGTAAAGGCACAATGCTGAAGGTGCTCCCAAGGCGAGCAACCGGCAAGCTGAGCTGCTGTCTCCTTATCCCGACACTAAGTGAAATGGGTTCAGGGCAGAGGCCTTTTTCCCTCCAGGTTACATGGCTCGTCTCCATGCTGGCTGGAGACAGCCAGCTAGCACTGGCATTCCTGACTGACTGTATTCTGTTGAGGAGTAACCAGCACAATCTGGATTTAGCTAAGGGATGCACTGGTTCTTCCAAGACATCTCGGGGTTTGTGCGGTGCCCACGCTGAGTACAAGAAATTTTTTAATCAGTACATACCATAGCTTGCTCGATTTTGTTGTCGATAGCTACCACACTTGCACCAGAGCTGGAAGAGAGGATTAAAAAAAAAAAAGAGAGAGAGATCATCATCATGGAATTGATCTTCAACATTCGGAATAAAGATAGATTTCTGAATTCAAATGGCGTTACTAGCATCATATTTCGAGTATTCTTTAACGCTACAAAATGCATCGTACTCCAGAAAATACTAGCCACTATCGAATATCCAGGCATTTCCCTATTTTAGGGAGCCACAAAGGGCTAAATTACATAATGAGAGAAAGCCTGTTCTCGAGCCAGATCTGTGACCATTTCAAAAAGCAGCCTCTATGTCACAGTAACCCTCAGCATGGACAAAGGAATTCGAATGGCTATCCTGTACCTGCATTCCCGCAAGTCAATTTACTCTTGAGTCAATTTAAAACCAACTATCCCGGCTGACATTTACCTATTGTCAAGTCTCACAGAAGCGTTTTCAGTTCCCAGCAAAGACGACAAGAAAGAAATTGAAAAATGTCTCAGTTGGTAAACTCCTAGATCCATCGCCACTGGTCTACACCATTGGGATTTCATGCAATTGCAGCCAAAAACACCCTCGTGGAAAAAAAAAAAAAGAGAGAGAGAGCGAGCGGGAGGGAGCAGCCGCAGCCTGGTTCAAACTAGAGAAAGCCTCCTAGCTGTCTGCAGCCCGGGGCGTGAGAACGGCAAAGCAGCACTGGCTAGATTGACCCGGTGTGTGCTGCGGCGACTCGCTGCGACCCGGCAGCCGGCTCCACTCCTCTAGAGGAGGCCGCCCGGCCCCAGCGCCACATATAGGCGGCGAGGCGCCGCGCCGATTGGCCGCGCCATAAGCCCGCCCCGCGCGCTCCCGGGCTGCGGTCCCTCCCGGTGCCCGCGGCGGGGGTGGGGTGGGGGTGGGGGAGAGCTGGGCGCCGCCTCCTCCGAGGGCCGCATCAGGGTCCCCGAAAGGGCCCGGTGCCCGCATGCTTACGTCTAAAGGAGTCAGACCCGTCTCCAGAGCCGCCAGTCCCCGAGGCGCTGAACCCTGCAAGCTTGCTATTTGCAAGCAGACCCGGCCGAGCTACTGGGCATGCCCAGTCCCACCACTAAGGCTCAGAAACGCCAGCGTCTCGATTTCAATTATTGGGTTCTTACAAGAAGCAGCGACGGGAGGCTTTAGAGGCTATGTTATGTGCAAAGATAATAACCCTGATGTAGGAATTCTTTTCTTTAATGCTAATGAGTTCAAAGGAATATTACATTTGCCTGTTTGGTGGGAGATAGCCTCACGTAAAATTTATTACTTACGTGTAAAAAGCAATACTGCATTTTTTCTTTGCTAGGCAAATAAAGGGTCAAAGGAATCTACAAGATGAAATGCAGGGAACCTTCCCCAAATGTTTCCAGAGTTGTAAGCCTTAAAAATCACATCACCCTAACTACACCAGTAATTATGCCTTCTTCCATTTATAGCTAGAAGAGTCAATCTACAGGTCCAATCCCGAACAGAATCTATTTTCAGCTAGTCCCTAAGGCAAAGGGTTTTCAAAGTGAGATGGCAATTCCGCCAAGACTTAATACTTAGTTTTCTTACATCAGAGGGATTAAATACTGTCAAGGACGTTTTCCAAAAAGCATACAATTCCTTATATGTAGCCTTTGCTCATTTGCAGTGTGTCTAGAACCAGTAAAAATGTAGAGAGAATCTGATGGTGGTTAAAAATAGTTCAGCAGTCAAGAGATACTGCAGGCTCACAGCAAGCAGGTTAACGCTCCCAAATCAGGATCATCAGATAAGGGGCAAAATTACCTCCAATAATTTAAATATCTGTGAAGATGTATGAACGAAGGGCATAATTTAACATAACAAATAAGTTTGATTATTACATGTTATATACTGTTTGCAGTTGTTTGAGGAAATTTTACCCTCTACAATACTGCCCTCCAGTGGCAGAGAGCTATAAAAACAAACAAAAAATTACCAAGTGCTTGGAACCGCTCTAATCCATAGGCAAATGTATTAATCACACATAATTCCAAAATAAAAATTGACTATGAAACATAAACACATTACACTCAACATGCAGCATGAACCCCTTCTTTTTCAAGTCTTCTCCCTCAAGGAACATCCTTTCCTAAAACTGCAGTCAATTTGAACTCTCAGAAACCATCTTAAGGCAATTAAATACCAAATATATTGAATACAACCCAAGAAGAGGTTCTCTGTCTAGGTTTCCTGTTAGGCTTTGCTTCTGAATGTTAGTATACCTGTAGTTTATAATGTGAGTTGTCTGAAGGTACCAGTTTTCGTCAAAGAAAACACAGTAAGTGAAGCTGAACAGTCATAATAACCCATAAAATAAGCATGTCCCCATGTCCATGAACGCTAAGCAGGGTTATTATTAGTCCTTTACAGTTGCTGTACTTAGAAAATTAAAGTTATAACTATCAGTCTGTAACCATTTAAATATGTCAACTGAACACCAACTCCAGAGGAAAGGGTCAGTGTTATGGAGAGACACACCTTAAATGTAAAGGAAGATAAAGCAGAAGCAAAACCCTCTAAGGCCACATAAAGACATGAAGATTCCCAGCTGGAATTGAAAAGGATCACAGGGCCTTATTTATTCATGTTGTCCTTGAACAGAAATAAAAGAACTAAATTGTTCTGTTTTCTATCATTTTAACTGAACAAATGCCCACTGTATTAGCAACAGAAGCAGATATGAACAGCCAGCCTGTCTAATCCACATTACCTACTTCAGGGTATTTGGTTCTCTAGTACTTTCCATTTTAAATAACTGGCAAGAAGCCTCTGTGTGTGTGTGTGTGTGTGTGTGTGTGTGTGTGTGTGTGTGTGTGTGTGTGCGTGCGTGCATGCGCGTGATTGTATACTTATGGAAACCAAAGAATAGGTTTGAACCAAAGAATAGGAAAAAAAAAATCATGTCTTTTATCTCTCATACAAATGTGCTAGATTCCCTTAAAACTGGATTTTTTATGAGAGGAATATATAACTTGAAAACGAAGGCAAAGGAAATAGAGGAAATCTTCATAAACTAAAACTGTTGGATCAGAATGTCTAAGAATTTCCCTTGAAAGTTCTGTTTACCAGACAAGTATCTGTGAGTCTATCTAGTGCCATGCCTGAGATCACCAGAGGCCTGCTGAGACTGTACAAAGGAAATGCAACAGTCCTTCAGGAGAGACTCCCAAAGCCATGGGCCATACAAGTCAGCTTCAGAGAGCTCCTCAAGTTCAGGAAAAGGCACAAACATTTGAAATGGGTTATTGCGGTCTGCATATGAGTCTCTGCATGGATTCCAGCTCAGTGACATCTGGCTGTTGGAATCAGACATGGGGAATGATCAAGAGGATCACAGGCAGGGCCTCTGAGGGTCTAAGGTGATGGCACTTAGCCAACACTGGCTGATGCAGGGATCCAATGATCTCGAACAACCTCTTTCACCATCTAGGGACTGCCAAGGAAGCAGGCAAGGTATGCACCCTGTAACCTGACCACACTGCTCTTGTCTAGGGACCACTGGCCACCTCATTTTCCCAGGTTCCTAGAGACCAGAAGTAGAATGACAAGTTTAAAAGAACCACAGATTTCCTAGCCAAAGATGTGATAAACACAGAGACAGAGCAGAAAGGGGAAGAGAGACAAAAATACTCCTTAGCCATCAAAATAAAACCCTATCATGGCTATAACGTGGATGGAACCACAGAATTTAACTTAAAGAGTTTGGCAGTCAAAGACAAACACCACACAGCCTCACATCTAGAGTAGAGGGCACAACAGCAGTTACTAAGATGAGGGGTTTTGGGTGAAATGCAGGGATGGATGCTGGTCCAAAGCTAAAAGCCTCAGAATAGGTTGAGAGATCTGTCGACTAGCACAGTAGCACCAGTTAATGAGGACAGCACCCCTTAAGAAGCTAAGAGTGGTGGCTGATGAGTGGTCTCATCACAAAACTCAAAGCGTGCGAAGCAATGCATTTGTTAGCGCGCTGTATTAAACTAGCTCACTTTATTTAGATGAATATAGAAATGCATGCAATTCAAAGCGGTATTTACAATAAATAGAAACACATTAAAAATGGACAGATAAACAGCGAGTAATGCTTTAGTGACAGTTCCTCGGCACACTGTCAGAACAAGGCACAGTGTCACCAAAAGATGAAAACGCTGAATTCAAACTCCCTTTGGTTAAGAGTGACGTCTTCCCAGACACAGAACAAAAGTAAGAGAGAATGAAACGAGAATGGTTCTGAAAAGCCAACATGCAAACAGGGTGCGCTCTGAGATGCTGGCCAGGGCAGGAAGGCATTGCCAGAGAACTGTCTAAGAACAGGCCCAAAACTTGAAAATTACAAATCTCCAAATGAAATGATCAAATTCCTGAAATGGTAAAAAACAAATCAAAGCCCACGATCACAAAACTCAAGACAACCAGGATGGAGGGGCAAATCCAAGAGCTGGGATAGAAAGGGCAAGTTACCAACAGAAAGAAGTATTAGGAAAAATGGTGTTTACAGCTGCCAGAAGACCGTGGGACAAAGGTCTCTGCAGTTCTGAGAGAAGCAGCTTCATTGTTTGAGGTTTTCACTGGGCCAACTTATCTCTCTAGTGCAAAGTTAGAATAACATTTTTTAGATACTTTATACAATAAGATGGAAACCAAAATCAAGAAAAATGGTGGGCAGGGGACATCACAGACAGATAGAGAGAGAGTCAGACCCTGGGAAAGGGGACCAACGGACCAGAAGGCTGTGACCTCAGAAGAGGCTGCCTGGCATGCCCACGGAGCAGCTGCTTGGTGCCTGGGTGGCCTGATGGCAGACGGGGACTGAAGGAGCAGGAAAGTGGGGACGCTAAACCAGGTCTGCAGGGGCTGGGCAGCTGCTGCTAGCTAGGTATGCCAGCTTACAGGGAATCAGTCTACAAACCCAAAGGTAGCTCTAAACACCTCCCCCAATCGACATGGCCAGTATTACAGAGATCAAAACACAAACACATCCATTACATTTATTGAGGTGGTAGAAAGAATATATGTAGTGTTTGAGTAGCTTAGGAGAGCTAAATTACAACTATATTTATCAGAACTTGCTCATATTAATGCTCAAAACTGAAAAAATAATGTCACAGAGAAATACGGAGGTAAAGAAAAGAAAAACACTAAAAATAGCTGCACCTGAGAAACAGTTATGGGGGGGAGGGGAAACGCTAATTGTTTTTACATTCATGCTATCATTGTTTGGGCTTAGGTTAAAATCTTCTAAAGTAACACAGGCATACTGACTACCTACCAGCAAGCATCTATAAAAACTACCAGATTTGAGACAGCCATTACTGAAGAGCAGAGCAAGAGGAAGAAACCAGAGGCCTTGACTGGTGAGGTCAATGGACACCTGAGTAAAAAAATCCAAGTCTAGAGCAACAAATGGTTAGAGGATACTGCCAAAACCGGGGGGGGGGGGGGGTAGGGGTGTGTGTGTGTGTGTCTGTCTGCCTGCCTCTGTGTGTGTGTGTGTGTCTGTCTGTCTGCTTGTGTGTGTGTCTCTCTCTCTTTCTCTCTCTCTCTGTGTTTATGCTGCCAGTTTTTATGTGTGTCTGTGTGTGCCTGTCTCTGGGTGCTGTCTGCCTGTGTGTGTGTCTATGAGTGTCTGTGTATGCCTGTCTCTCTGTGTGAGTATGGGTGCGTGCGTGCGTGCGTGCGTGCGTGTGTGTGTGTGTGTG